CCTCGCCTGGCCTACATGTGACTCCAGACCCACAGTAATGTGGTTAACTCTTAACTGCCCTCTGGGTAATTAGGGATGGGCAATAAATGCTGGCTGAGCCAGCAATGCCCTCATCCGTGGGTGAATAAATTTTTTTAAAGTGTAATGACAATTTTTAGAACTCAAAATGGTGTCACAGAGTGAAAATGTTTGGAAACACTGATCTAAACACTTGTACAATGAGTAAGTGTTACCCTCCTGAATAAAAACAGGCATAGCACTTTATATGGTGAGCAACATGGACCTGACTGAATAACTGACATTTCTGTATTACAGAGTGGACAACACTAACCTGCTGAATTCACAAAGTTTCTGCAGAATTGTATTGTGTAACTTTTATTAGAAACCCAGTTTTGGCCTATCAACCTGCAGATCTCACTTTGATGAGCCCTAAGCATGTTAGAAATAAAATTCCCTATTAGTCAATATAGTGCAAGAAGTTTGCCATTCAGCTCATTATAGACCTGTACCAAAAGCTCTTTTTAATGTGTCAGCAATGGCTCAGGTGGTAGCACACTTGCTTCTTGTCATACAGTCTGGGATTCAAGATGCATTCGAGGACCTTCGTATAGAAATCATAGCTGACATTCTAATGCAGCCAATGAAGGGAGGTGATGGCCTAGTGGTATAATCACTGCACTGTTAATTTAGAGACCCAATATTCCGGGGACCAGGATTCAAATCCTGGCAGATGGTGGAATTTTAATTTCAATTAAAAAAAAGATCTGGAATTAAGAGTCTAATGATGACCATGAATCCATTGTCGATTGTCAGGAAAAATTCATCTGGTTTGTTAATATCCTTTAGGGAAGGAAGCTGCTATCCTTACCTGGTCTGGCCTACATGTGACTCCAGACCCACAGCAATGTGGTTGATTCTTAACTGTTCTTTGGGTAGTTAGGGATGGGCAATAAATGCTGGCCCAGCCAGGGATGCCCAGATCTCTTGTGAATGAATAATAAAAAAAAAACAGTACTGAAGGAGTGCTGCATTGTAAGAGGAGCTGTCTTTAGGATGAATTATGAAAGCAAAGTCATTGGACGTAAAATATCCCATAGCACTTCATTGTAGAAGAGAAAACGAGTTCCCCCAGTTTTCTGCTCAATCAGTATCACAACAAAAAGATTATCTGCTCTTCATCACATTGTTACTTGTAGCAGCTTGCTGTCCACAACTGGTTGCTGCATTTCATATACTGTGACAGTGATCACATATCTAATGTACTTCATTGATTGTATAGATGCTTTGGCTGATGGTCATGAAGAGTGTTATCTCCTTAAATACACATCTCTATTTCTTTCTTAGTATTCTTGGAACAAACTGAAGACTGGTCATTTCACTGAGTGTTAGATATTTCTATTGAGTTATGAAAGCTTCATTAGAAATAATGTATTTTAACTTTAACTTAATCAAAAACATTGGAATAACTAAATGAAATTATATATATTGTATGTATGTATATTATATATATATTCATTTATGGAACCTGGGTGTCATTGGCGAGGCCAGCTTTTATTGCTCATCCTAAAGGAGGAGGTAATAGTGAGCTGAAGGAGGTGATGGTAAGCTGAAGGAGGTAATGGTGAGCTGAAGGAGGTGATGGTGAGCTGAA